GCGCCCTAATGGTGATTTGTTCAAGAGATCACCTAACTCTCCTTTACTCTCTTTCTTGACTGAATATTCGATRTCCTCATTCAATAATGGTGTCTCCTTAAATAGGAGATTACAAGAGTCCTAATCTTAGGGAGYCTYYWTGTTGAATAGGGAGACTTCCAATTCTATCTTGCTAAGGATAAGATAAGCTAATCCTAATCTGATAATAAGATAAACTAATCCTAATCTGATAACAAGATAAACTAATCCTATTCTGATAATAAGATAAACTAATCCTAGCCTGATAACTTACTAACAAGATAAGATAAGAGCAATAGAATAAGATAAGAACAAGCAAGATGATCTAATCTAATCTGGCAGTGGGTCAGGTTCCTGTTGCTGCCGGCGGCGATGGTACGTCTTTCCGAGGAATGTGTCCATAACAGTCTGCCTCAACATAAACACGAGAAAGCTAGCTTGCAATGAGAAATGTGGGGCCTTTCAAAGGACTTGTTTTCAGCTCTTACAAATACAAGTCCAAATTCCATATTACAAAGCCCACTTTGCTCCACTGCTCTACTCACTCCAATGTTTATACACACGAGCCAGAAAGAGAGAGGAGTGTAATTAACTCTATAAATGAAATAATGGAAATGCTCTATCATAGAGCATTGCCAGCAGTGTAAAGCTTTGCCTGAGATTCGACTAGAAATAAGGCCCCTCCTGAACCAAGCTGGAGAAGTTTTTCCTAACATGTAACAAAATGACTGTCATACAAATCCCTTGGATTCTTAAAAGGAGGGGCCCATAGGAAGCCATTGCTAGCTCCAAAACCCTCAGACTTGCCCTACGTTTTGAGGATAACAAACACACCAAGACTTGTGGAATCTAATCATGTTTTAGGGTTTTGCAAAATGGTTTGGTTAAGATTTTGCAAATCAAATTCAAGCAAAGCTACACCCTTTGTGTCATGTAATTGTGATTTGGCAACACCTTGAAGAGCCAAATTGGTTTATCATCATTCAAGCAAGGCAAGAAATGAAATTTGGACAAGTTTGAGCAAAGAAGTTGCATAATAAGACAGTAAGGTCTTCATTAAGAACATGTGTAAACAATTCTTTTGCTTTAACTTGGGCTCAAATTGATTTAACCTTTGACTTGAAATGGTTTATCTTTCCCTTTTAGACCTTATTTGGCTTAGAAAGACCTTTGAAAAGGTTTGGGAAAGTTACAAAATTGAAAAAACTAGAAATATAAAAAGCAAGTAGGGCATCTAGATACGCAAAGTTGTCCCTGAAGTAAGTGGAGCCATCCCTAAAGCAACCCAACTCTTAAGGAACCATTTTAAAACCATTTAGACCACATTAAATGCACTCAAATCTAGTTGTTTAACCCAGCATTGGTTTTGACTTGACGATCAAACAATTTGACTTTGAGCAACATTTGAATGAATCCTATGTTTATAGAAAAACAATGGGAGACAAAGTTGCCTTTCTGATACTTTATGTTGATGACATTCTACTCATTGGGAATGACATATGGATCTTATCCTCAATGAAGGTATAGATTTAACAATAATTCTCCATAAAGGATTTTGAAAAAGCTTCCTACATCTTGGACTTCAACTCTATAGAGTAGATCAAAATAGATCCTATGACTGTCCTAGGACTATCACAATCTACGTTTTAGACAGTGTGTAAGCCCTCAACTCCAACTAATGTATTGTACATAACTATATTATGAATAAAGTCATTTATTTCATGTGTCATGGGTTTACTTTGCTACCACTTAGTTCATATTAGTATTATATATGAAGCCATATGGTTATTGCAATATGGAGTTATCGACTTAAATGTTCACAACCAGTGGATAAACTTGGGGAATTTATCTTGACAAGATTGTCGTCCTCACATTGCCCAAGTAGTAGAGCAATGGGTCTTAGGTGCTCAAGTTGTGACTAAGGTGTGAAAATCATAGTTTCAAATGTCCCGAAATGTTGCTAATGTCGCCCAACATATGTTGACGTAGAGGCTCACCGACATGAAAATGGATGGTAATATAAAAATTACATTATTTCGGTCGACATTTCCTATATTTCGGAAATGCCAACCAAATCGGTCCAAATAACCGAAAAAAAAGAC